ATGGAGTCAGTGGGGAAGTGACTGGATCCCCTGTTTATTTCCAGACATTCTAACGTTTTGTTTTGAATTGAAGAATGTATGTGGAAAAAAATGTAACTGTTTTAAGGCATTCACTGCATTCCTTTGAAACATAGGTTCAAACTTAACTGCTTTTATTTATGAATTTCCCAAGTTTTCGTAGGAGCACCAATAGCATCTGATGTAAATGGGCATAGTTCCATTGACTTTAATGGAGCTGCGCCAATGTACTCTGAGAATGTGGCCTCCAAAGTTTAAATTGGGTTATCATATAAGGCAGGAATAGCCTCCTCTGGAAGACCTTATGAGGCTCAACAAAGCAGAGCTCCATTCTTGCAGATTGGGTAAATGCATAGGATGGGAGGGAGTTATAATTGGGTGGGGGGTGAGGGAAGCACATAGCGATGGTGGAACAGATAGTGATGCTTTTATTTACATTGAAAGCTCTTAAAGTTTTATATCTAAAAAAATTTAAGCATTTAAAATGATAAAAGGCCTGACTTCTCCTGGGTCAGAGCAATAACTCTTTATATTGCCCCCGACACAAGCAGCCCAGGAGCCAGGACACAAACCTGGGACCTGATCCTGCATACTTGTACTCAGGTGAGTTGCCCTTATTCATGCAGAGTCCCAATGTAAAGGTTGAATTGTGATGACCCTACATCGGGGTGGGCAAACTACAGCCTGCGGGCCGGATCCGACCCATCAGGGCTCCGGATCCAGTCCGCGGGATTGCTGACCCCGTGGTGCGGTGGGCCCTGCACCGCTGCTGGAAGCGGCCGGCACCATGTCCCAATAGCCCCTGGGGAATGGGGGGCAGAGGCACTGCCCCCCGCAGCTCCCATTGGCCGGGAACAGGGAACCACGGCCAACGGGAACTTCAGGGGAGGGAGCCTGCCCTGGCCCCGGTGCACAACACTGCCACCCCGGAGCCACTCCAGGTAAGCGGCACCGGGCTGGAGCTCACACCCTGAACCCCTCCTGCACCCCAACTCCCTGCCCTGAGCCCCCTGCCATACGCCTCCTGCACCCCTGTCCTGAGCCCCCTCCCTCACTCTGCACCCCCACCCCCTGCCCTGAGCCCCCTCGTAAACTCTACCCTTCCTCTGCCCCAACCCCTCGCCCTGAGCCCCTTCCTGCACCCCGCACCCCCTCCCACACCTCGCACTCCCTCCCGCACCCCAGCCCCCTGCCCCAGTCCTACATTCATGGCCCTGCATGCAATTTCCCCACCCAGATGTGGCCCTCGGGCCAAAAAGTTTGCCCACCCCTGCCCTACATAAACCAAAAATACAGTAAAAAGTGATGGGAGGGAAAAATAAAGAAAGATGAGGAGAAAAAGAAAAAAGAAAGAACAAAGAGAGAGAAAAGAGAGAACAGGGAAAAAAGGAAGAAGGAAAAAAGAGAAGAGAGAAAGACAAAAGAAGAGAAATATACAGAGAACGAAGGACAGACAAGAACAAGGATAGAGAAGGGAAAGCGAAGTTCATGCATGTGAGGTTAGGACTATTCCCCTAAGTAAGAGTTTGCAGTCTGAGCCCTTGTAAATCCCACATGTTAGGCCAGGTCAGCCACTCAGAATGTAGCCTCTGAGTCTGCAACTGCAGGGGAATCCCCTGAATTTACACAGCACACCATGGAAGTAAAGGGTCCCACACAGACACATGCATTTACAAGACTGGGCCTTACTTTGCTGTCTTTGGTACAGTAGCTTTTTTTTGGCCACATCATCAATAAATTAAAATAAATATTGAAGAAATGCTGAAATTGAAACATATTCCTTTTCCTATTCTGGTATATTTGCTTGGTTGTTCTATAAAAAGGATTATACAAATGATTTACTGTAGGGTTTGTATATTTTATGCAAAAAAAGTATATTTCCCTGGACAGTTTGCTTTGTTTCTGCAGATGCTGAGTTTCTTCAGTTTGTTCCTGTGGGTTGATTTTAAAGGTTTTTTGATGCACATGGACTGTTGTTGGAGATAGTCTTCTGGATTTTTTTACTGCTGTTAGTCAAAGATAATTCTTTCTTTCTCCACACCGGGTTCATGTGACTCAGATTAACAAATGTACAATAATAACACTTAGCTCATATGTAGCACTTTTCTTCTGCAGATCTCAAAGCACCTTATAAAAATAATGAGTCACCAGGAGAGGTGAAATGACTTGCAGGTCAGTATAAAACTGAGAACTGAACTCAGGTCTCCTGGCTATCAGTCTAAGAGTCTACCCAATGGACCATTCTGCTACCAGAAAGGGACCCCTGCCAGCAGAGCAAAGAATAACGCAAAATAGTTATTTTTGTCCAACTGGACAGAGAGAGAATTCTTCCTTAAGAAGAATTCACTACTCGCTGATCACTGCTCACATGCACAATGTCACTGTACTATATGCTACAGTTGATTTGCCAGATAAAGGTCCTATGTAGCGATAAGGTCTGCGGTATTTTGTTTTATGTTCTTTTGTTTTTCTACTTCTTCTGATTTGTACTAACTTTAGCAACCTAGTTCCTTTATCTTTTTAATACATTAATTCAAATACTGATTGTGTTTCCTCATCCTCTTTTTAATACTCTATTAAAATAATTACAGCAGTTCCTTGCCATTCTACATTAACCCTGAAAAGCAGGTGCCACAACAATTACTGCTATTAATACAGCCATCACCTTTATATACACGACTATCCTTTACAGTTTTGAGGAGACTTGTCCTAATGGACGAGGAGAATGTAACTAACACTAATGGAAGTTACCTAACAAAGTGGGACTATAGGCCTGATTCTCCATGGTCTTGCATCTTCTGTAGCCATTCACACATGTCCAAAGTGGGTGAGAGTGCTACCAACTCAGATGGCCTCATTTGCTTCTCATTTCCACGGGTGCAAACCAGGAATGACTCTACTCAAATCAGCAGCATTACATCTGTGGAAGTAAGAAGAGACTCAGTGAAAGGTAAATGGCTACAAAAGACAAGAGAGATCTGTAAATCAGAGGGGCAAGCCCCCTCTCACCAATAATCCTAACCTATCCCTTCGCCACCTCAGTTTTATACTGTGTCAATCTCACAAAACTGGCACATAAATACTTTTTTGTGTTAGAGGTGTTATTAGCATACTCAAAACATCTAATATTACATATAATAGAGATATGAGAATATCTGCATATGTTACAGGAAACTCCATAAGGGAAATGTTGCAGATTTTTTGTTGAGGGGGGGAGCAGTGTTTGTTCTTCTGCAAATCTGACCAGAGGATGGCCTGCAAAAACCATAGATCCACCAGATCTACAGGGATCTTCCAGAAGCCCCCTGTTCAGAGGCCCTGGGCCTCTAAACTGTTTCTAGGTACCCTGATTGACCCTTGGCTCACTGAAAGCACAGCTCCAGTGGAGTGCTACCACCAGGAACTACAATTGGGCCCCTTCCCTTACGGATGGGTTGAACACCAAAGCTATGACTCCATTAGTATTAACTTTGGTGCTGAATCCCTGCAAGGTTGTAAGCAGGATGATGCATGGAGAGTACCCATCCCTTCCCTCTCCTCTCAGATTCCCATCTCTGTACAAGAGTTTACACTTGGTGTGAGGCAAGCATGGGAGTCAGCATTAGGTAAAAAATGAGGAGTCCTTGTGGCACCTTAGAGACTAACAAATGTATTTAGGCACAAGCTTTCGTGGGCTATCACCCACTTCATCAGATGCATGGAGTGGAAAATACAGTAGGCAGGTATAAATACACAGCACATGAAAAGATGGGAGTTGCCTTACAAAGTGGGGGAGTCAGTGCTAATGAGGCCAATTCAGTTAGGGTGGATGTGGCCCATTTCCAACAGTTGACAAGAAGGGGGTGAATATCAACAGAGGGGAAATTATTTTTGGTAGTGACCCAGCCACTCCCAGTCTTTATTCCAGCCTAATTTGATGATGTCAAGTTTGCAAATTAATTCCAGTTCTGCATTTTCTTGTTGATGTCTATTTTTGAAGGTTTTTTGTTGAAGAATGGCCACTTTTAAGTCTGTTATTGTGTGTCCCTGGAGACTGATGTGCTCTCCTACTGTTTTTTGAATGTTTGTATTAGGTATAAGATGCATAAGTGGCTGCCTAGGGCACTACATTTTTAGGGGTGGCTCTAGCTCAACTGCTCTTCTCCATAACCAAGACAATTTTTTAAAGCACCCCCCCCCCCCCATGCCAGCAGCAACAGCAGGCCACAAGTTACCTTGACTGTGCAGCTCTAGCTCGGCTATCTCTGGCCAAGTATCCTTGTCACACCTAGGACATCAGAACTGCAAGCACCAGCCTGCGTGGGACGGGGGAACAATGGTGCAGAATTGACATTCTCCTCCCATCATCCTATACCCTGGGTGGGGATTTGTGGAGTTTTGTCTTCTCTGCCCACAGCCATAGATTGGGTGATCTTGGTGGCTGTCCGAGGAAGGCAGATCCTGGATCTCCCACATACCTCAGCCAAAAGTTACTTGCACTTGTGGTGCTTCTCTGAGATCCCGGGTGGTGCGTAAGGATCGGAGGGCAGGACAGTGCAGGGAACTATAGTGAGAAGAGACCAGCTTCTCCCACCCTTATCCCAACCCCATAGTACTCCTAGAGAAGGGGAAGGGTAGCAAAGTCTGGCCCCAGATCAGAGTGAGTCAGCATGGCGGACTCAGGTCCCAGCTCCTTACAGAGGCATGTACTACACTAAGGATGGCAGAATCTGGCCCAACAGGATCCTAAAGGTAAACCAACGTGCACACGGCGTCAAATGCAGGAATTCCGCTTCGGGGGCCTTCTGCTGAGACCTGAGCCCCTCTGCATCTGCCAAACCCTTCCCGATCAGGAGCACGTGGAGGGACCCCCTGCACGGTTCCCCCGGGTAATCCCCCTCACACACACCAAGGCTGCGCCTGCGGCCCCGCTCCAGTGAGTCACAAGACAAAAGGCTCCAATAGGGACCCGAGCGAGCACGTAACCTAGCATGTGCACATTGTTTGGGGGCGGAGGAAGGGCGTTGCACCGGCCGGGCTGAGGCTCCAGGGAGACTGGCTCTGGGAGCGAGCCCCACGTGGGCAGTGAAGCGCGCGCCGCTTCCAGGCAGCCCCCCGCCCGGGGAAGGCACCTGGACCCGGTGCCCCGCGCCTGCTAGGCGTGCGGCAGGAGGGAGTGGGGGTGAGTAGCCGCAGCGACTGGAGCGCGCTGGGCTGGGGCAGCGCCGCGCGGGGAGGGGGCCGGTGGCGCTGTGCAAGGCTGGGAAGGGGCGAGGAGAGGAGCATCACGTGAGGGGAGACGCAGCGGCGCTGCTACTTGTGTGTCTGCTTGTGCAACGCGTATGGGGGGAGAGGGAAGTTAGCGTCTGGCGCACAAGGTTGCGGGGCGGGCATAGCCTGGTCCTACCTGCGGGAGGGTGGGGTGGCCTCGCCCAGCGCTGTCCCACCGCCGCTGGTGCACGGGAAGCTGCAGTGGTTCTATCAGCCCCTTCAAGGTCGCAGCAGGGAGTTACGCCACAGTGGGTGGCTTGAAGTTCACCCGAGCAGACCGTTACCCTGGGAAGTTGGAGGGAGTTAGCCCTGCCCTCCCCTCCCCGCTTGTAGAATAATTAAAATCACGGCTTTCAACAATGTAAATCAGTTTCCTTCTGCTCCCACCGCCGCCGCTATTGAGAAAAGCGCGGAGCATCTAGCCCGCGTTAGCAGAGGAAGGTCTGCTTTTGCAAACTTCAGTTTTCCTCAGAAGCAGACCCAGAGGCCTTGATTCTCAGTGGTGACTGTTCCTGAAAGGAGGGGAAAGGTGCTTTGTAGCTGGGGTCCTCTAGTGCTCTCTCTAGGGTAAATTAGCATGTGATCTGCTTCTCCACCGCCTTGTGCAGGCTTATACAGTACCTGCTCCTGGATGGGATGTCAGGGACAGGCCAAGGGCAGAGAGAGGGCATGCCATGACAGTGCAGCTCTAGCTCGGCATGCCCTCTCTCTGTCCTTGGCCTGTCCCTGACATCCCATCCAGGAGCAGGTACAGTATAAGACTGCACAAGGGAGGGGCAGCGCGGTGGAGAATCAGTCCTGGGCAGGTCATCTGAGGTAAATTTCATTCTAAAGTGTAAAAACAACCAGGAGTTGGGTGCCACCTTAAAGACTAACAGATTTATTTGGGCATAAGCTTTTGTGAGTAAAAAAAACCGACCACTTCTTCTGATGCATTCTAAAGTGTAAAGTGCATTAGTGTTTCAGGTTGGCTACAAAATATCTGAAAGACATTATTTTGCATTTCTTATCTGTCTTAAACATGGCTGTACCAATTTAAATAAAACACTAAAAACATAAAGAATGAGGAGTACTCGTGGCACCTTAGAGATTAACAAATTTATTTGGGCATAAATTTGTTAGTCTCTAAGGTGCCACAAGTACTCCTTGTTCTTTTTGCTGATACAGACTAACACGGCTACCACTCTGAAACTAAAAACATAATTTGCATCTGGACTAAGAAAGCTTATTTCTTAAATTTAGCATATGCTATCCCACGAATTTGCATCGTAACATGCTATGTAATGTTATTTAATATTTACTTTGCAGTATTGCATAGAAGCCAGCCAGGTCAGTGACCTATCGTGCTAGGTTTTGTAAAACAATATAGTAAATGGCAGTCCCTGTCCCAAAGCGTTTACAGTCTAAAAGACAAGATGTAACAGTATGTGAGACAAACAAGCAGGTCAGGGTGGGATGAGAGTAACATGAGGTAACAACAACAACAAAATCCCACAATAGCATGTGCACAGTTCTTAGTCAGGAGCAACACAAGGTTTCTCTTTCAAATGGGGGATTCAACATTTGGTTGAGTGTGAATTGCAGGTTGGCAGGAGCAGAGCTTATGAGATTGCTGCTTACTGTGGTATCACACCTACCTCAATCCATTGGTATTTGCTTTTGTATGCAAGTCAATGCAGATAGGGTGAAACCCCCTTACTCCAGGTTTGGGGGGAAAGGTGGGGAGAGGAAGTGGCTTGTGTAGGGTTACCATACGTCCGGATTTTCCCGGACATGTCCGGATTTTGGGGGCTCAAATCCCCGTCCGGGGGGAAATCCCCAAAAGCCGGGCATGTCCGGGAAAATCGGGAGGTCAGCCGGGCCCGCGGGGAGCCTGGTCAGCCGGGCCCGCGGGGAGCCT